TACATGCCTGCAACAATTCTGAATAGGAGCTCACATTACTGGTACCTAAACTCAGTACCTTTAAATCCCACTTTTGTCAGTTGTCTAAATTCAGTAACTCATACAAAGCTCGCTTGCGTTTTGTTTCCAAAACGACTTTAACATCACAAACTGATTGGTCAGTAGGGCTCCACTGACTGTGAAACAATGGGTGAAGTGAGTCCTGCATCAAGCTGAGGAAATGCTGACAGTGAATTCAGTTTATACCAATGTTACTGCTAATCACTGGCTTGAAAGCCTTGTCTGGGTCGCGTTCATTTGGGCAGCTCAACCCGTGCCCTTCAAAGCCTCTAACATTCTCTTCCATATTATCAGTTATATTTATATAGCTATTTTTAGTAATGAAACATCCCTGAGTGGCATACAGTGCAACATCTGCATCAAGCAGTGATTGTCGTTTACAAAGCGTGAAACTTAAAAAAGGAAAGAAGAGGACTGGGTCTCCAACACACTGTTCCTAATGGATGTCAGAGATAGGAGTTAGTTTCTAGAGTGGAGGCAGAAAGTGCTGGGACAGGTTGGTAGGTGTCAATACACTATTTTTTTATTGCCAGAGAAAAAGCAAGTTGTTCTGTCTCAGGTTTCCATTTCATATGTGCTTAGACATAACATATTTGGACAAAAAACTCTTTCATGTTTCAGTTTGATCTTATTGCCCAGTGCTATGTTCCTGGGATGTCCAACAGACAATGACCCTGAAAATAAGAACCAGCTTCCAGGCTGGACCTTGGCTCTTCTGGAAACAGCACAATCAATGTGGAGTCAGGAGGAAGGAGGACGAGGGGAGCCTGAACATCTTTCAAATATGCTTTGTAGCACAGCTTTAGAGGGGGTGAAAAAGACAGCAGGGAAAAGGATCCATCAGCTGCACATCTCTAACTGTTCTGCCTCACTGATTTCTGAGACTGCTGCGGCCTTGGAGCAGCTCCCACAGCCCAGTGGTGGGAGGCTGAGAGGCCAGCACACAGGAGCAGCTTTGCACCCTCTTTGTGTAGAAGTTGTTACAACAGAAATCCCTGAAAACTGTCCCCAGGGGAAATGTACACCTGTGCAAGCTGCCACCATGAAAACGAACAAAGAAAATCACATAATAAAGCTCATCTTCAAGGACAAGTCTGGTAGCTGCTCCACCTGGAGCACCATAACCTGGCACAGGCATTGAGACAGCATTGGCGCCCAAGGCGCAACAGGAGGAATAAACTGATCCCTGTGAAATGGAGCTGAAATGAACAACAGGAATTGTGAAGTAAAAACATTAAAAAGCAAGTACGAGGATAACATCTGACTTGTTCTCTGTGAAGCTCAAAGGGGACCTCTTAACACCAAGGGCCTCTGACTTTATGAGGGGTTGAACCCCTTCTGTGTGGTGCTGCGATGCCTCCATTTTCAGTGGCTCTAGTTAGAGCTAAGGGAGCGTGACAACTTGCAGAATCAATTCCTAAATGCTGCCTATCACAAACCAATAAAAAATATACATTGCTTTTGGAAACAAGTTGGCTCAACTGAGTGCCTTCTATTACCCTGGTTTTTTTTCTAGCAATTGCTAAAGCAATCTTTCCATTAGAAGGAAATATGACTCTTGGAATTAATTCTGTATACAAAGAGCTGGCAAGAGTGACATTTACACCAAAATCAAGTCTCTGTGGTAGTGTAACGAACAGCCTACATCTGCTTCCTTGATGTCAAGGATAATTTAGATCAATGTGGTTGAATTATCTGAAAGCAATGCTAGAATTATAAGATTCGATACATACTTTAAATATCCTTTTGTCAAAGATCTGGGGTTAATCAATCATTAAAAAATGTGTCCCATTTGAAAAGCTTGTCACTAAAAAAAGTCAACAAACACAACCAATTACTACAGAGAGCAGATGTGACAAATCCTAGTTTTAGAGATTTAATTGAAGGGCTTCAAATACTACTGTGGACTAATGAAAGCCAAGAAGAAATAAAGTGCAGCACTAACATTTTCTGAAATGCATTTTGTGAGTGGATTATGCAGTTATTTACTCAAATTCATGCTATTTTATTATTTAAAGTCTATGGATAACTTGAACATATGAAATCCAATATCAAGAATTTGAAATTTTGAGTATAAATGACTATGTATCAAAACCAACAACAAAAATCCAGCCTGTAGCATGTGATTGTTATTTGTCGTTCTAATCTCAGTCAATGAAAGGCAGAAGAGGTACTACTTCACCTATGTGACCAATCCCAAATCACAGAAAATTAAATAAAATTTCTCAGCCTTAGTTACCACAAATAAATAATGTATGAGAATTAATTTTTATTTTCCAAATAAACAAGGTTATTTGCTCACATTCTGTAAAAGTAGTAACAAAAGTAGAGCAAGCTGTTGATAATTAACCTTATTTGAAGATAAAAATTTGGGGTTTTTTGGTTATCTTGCCTAAGACATAAGTAAAAAATCCCAAGGACTGATTAGCTTATCTGAAAAAAACCAAAACATTTTCAAGATGTAACACATAATTGTGAAGGACTATTTACAAACATAACAAACCTCTTTATTTATCAGCACTAAGAACAGTAATATTTATCACATATTCTATATTTCTGTGAGTTGGCTAAATATGTTACTTTTGGTATATTGAAAACAAATTTATAAAGGATTTCAAACAAATATATGTGTGTGTGTTCTTGTGTTGGAAAAGACAAGGAAAACATGAATCCCCTGCAGCTAAAACTGAGCACTTCTAGGCTTCAGGGTTTTTTTTCCAAATAAATTCACACAAGCATTACATAAATAAAGTTAATTAATTTTTTTGATATTAGAAAGAGTTGGAGTTTGGTGTCCTTTTCATGGATTTGCCATGTAAAAAGAGCTGCAAACAGATAAATCACCTTATAAAGGAATGCCAGTTTTTGGGTTTAAGTGGTATAAAGAAGCATCAAGAGCAATGCTTTATTATGTTAATTAAAGACATTTTGATGTAATCAGTAGAGATCAGAAAATGTGCTCTGAATTTGGAGCAAAAAAGGTATTTTAGAAATTGCTGTTCTATAGGACTAAGTAATTTTGAAGAGTAGGTCATGTTTGCAACAAAATTCTCAGCATAACTAACTTTGCTGTGCAGGTTTTTTCTTTTCTCTTTTTGAAATTATAATGGACCTACAGAGAAACATTTATTAGCTGAGAATTTGTAACTGCTCTTGTATCTGATCTGGCATTGCTATAACAGAGCAAACAAACATTGATGTTGTCTAGACTGGATTCTGTCATGAAACATGTATGTAGACTTGCAAACCGGCTGATGGAAGGCAAGGGAAAACTCGACAAAGTACTTGGAATAGCCTGTGAATTATTTGGTCATGCAGAAAAGAGAACAGAAGATTGAGACCAGACCTGTGCGAGTCTGCTGGAAAAGCTGGAGGCGTTAAGTTATCACTGCAACGAACCAAGTTTCTGCATCGACCCTGGGGCCCAGCTATGTCTCTGTGGGCTCCCTGTGACACTGCTCTGCCATGCAGCCTGGCAGATGGTGGGTTCTTCAGCCTCCCTGCCAGCAGGCTCCTCCTTGCCTTGCCTCAGATGCACTGACTTCTATGTGATTTGAAATAAATGTATCTGCTTGCGATCCTGCCTTCACTTCTTCTCTACTGCCTGCTTCCTCTTACTTCTGCTGTACTCCCTCCACTGCAATCCCCAGAGGAGACTCCTCTGAAAAAGCTCACAATGGGTAAAAGTGGTGGTAAGGACAGAGCCGTAACAGAAACTGAATCCCTATTCCATAGCTAAAAAGTCTACATTTTGTATCTCTGGCAGAATCCAAATACATTAATTATGACTGCTAATTAAACTTACTTAATCCACAAGATTAAGTCCATGGCAGTCTTCCACTCCCCTCTGTGTTTGCCTTTGGTTTTACAAGCAAATGAACATAAAGTCAATTTAGAGACAGACAAAAGAAAGCCCCAATCCTTTGCTCCCCTCCTGAAGTGCATCTAAAATCAACCCTATATATGTATATATATACAGTTATATACATACAGATATATACATACGTATATGCATGTGAATGTAACATTCATATATGTATGTATGTAATGGAAACCATCAGTCCCATCTAGATGATGGCTATGTCAGAAACAGTGATAGTTATATTCGCCTTCATAACCATGGACATTGCTCACTTTGACTTTCCTCCTCCTTTCCTCCCTTCCTCCCTCTGCTGCTACTCTTCAGAGCAACGTTTTAGGCTTCCTATGGTTTTCACTGAGTTCACTATATGTCTTTCCATTGAGTTCAGCAAAAAGCAAACCAAGCCTTGCAACTGCTTTTCAAAGCAGCATATATATATATATATATATATAAAATAAAATTATGTGTGGAATCAAAAAAATGTATGTGTGGGATAGTCTACAATTTTACTCCGTGTTTCAGATACTTTACTGACATCAGGTCCTACAATGTTCACTTTTATATATGTTCTATCCCTGTAACAGGGAGAAAATTCCAAAAAACCTTTTCCTCTCACCATTAAAACCATCCAGACAAGGCTTTTGCACCATTGATACATTCCTGATGTTTTGTTTACAGACTGCACACATGCACTACATTACACATATCTCAGAAGTGATCCTGTCATTACACATTGGCAGCTGATAATTTAACTCTGACTGGCAAAGCAAATCTTGATTGCCCAAAGTAAATCTAATACATTACTTGGAGAGTAAGAAATGCATGACAGCTGGGCTGAGCATCCTTTAAAAGTAGGCATGGGATTTTTAAGCTACAGCATGTATGCATATAATACCTATATATACATATATATATATATATGAAAAAGTATATAGCGCATATATATATATATTTGTATTCCATACATGCACCATAATTTCCAAGACAGCTACAAATTTCCACATGCATTAAACTATCTAAAAACATAGAAATAGGCAAGTCTAATAAGTGGAATTTTCTTAAATTATATTTGAACAACACACCCAGTGTCCTATATTTTTATATTCATTGTCAGCTCAAAAAAAAAAAAAAGTAACAAAGAAAAGAGAAAAAAGACATCCCCACTTAGAGTTGCATATTTACATTCTTCAAACTGTAGCGGTGAAAAATAATTCTATTAAGTGCAGGACATTCCTAGTGTTGCAGTAGTGACATTTTTAATAAGTTCTTCATGAAAACACTTCTTTTTGTCTTAATAGTGACGCATTCCATGACTACGTGAAAATTCTATTATCCCCTTCACTTGCAGCCAGTGGTTGAGTCTGGATTGAAAAGCTCCTTGTATAATGGAGGAAACAGTGTGTTCACTATATCTGGATGAGATTGCTTAAATACCTGTAGTTTCTCTCCGTGCAAGTTGCAAAGTGCAGTAATGGTTGGTATCTTGGCTATTAACTGTGAGACATTAAAATAAAAAGGAAGAGGGAGGAAGCAAATTTAGTATAAATTAGTTTCCAAAATGAACTACATTAACATCATGTTGGGTAACTGAATGCAATAATCTGAACTCCATCAAAACTACCTATCCAAAGAACCAGACATTGTTCTTACTGTAAGAGGCTAAAAACAATTGTCCTGGAAATTGTAGCGAAGTGTCAAAAATACATTTAACAAGGAACTGCCTCCAGAGGTATTTTTTTAAGGCAGACTCATCCTTGCTAGGGTACCAATAAAGAGATCAGTGGATTGAACAAAAAATGGAGTAAGAGGAACTAGGGACAAGAGTAAAACAAGCCTTACTTCTCCTATGCATTGCAAGCACTTAGTGGCTGCTTTTACATTACATTAATGTGACAATACATGGAGAAATGGCTACCAAAACCAGTCACAATCAAGGAGTATTTGGCTTTTCATTTTAACAGTTTACCTTTGTCAAAGTCTCGTCATCGAGGTGGTTCTTCTGGATCACATGTTGAAGTGCAAAGTAAATCTTTTCCTGAAGCTTCTGGACCTTCCTTGGCTCTATTAACCAGGCTCGATCTGAGAAAAAGGAAAGTAAGAGCTAAGGTCAAGAATGCAGAGATGTGGGGCATGCTCATGGATGAACACGGTGTCCCATGCTGGCAAGCGTTCACAGCAATCATAATTCCCATGAGGAAGGACTGCATGATAATTAAGACATGGTTTCAGAGGCAAAGTATCTTAATCCATTAAAGGATCCCCTGAGAGTTTAATTAACAGATACAAAGTGTACAGGAACACAATGTTGACTCTGCATTTCTTTGTTTAAACCAGGATGTTAGAGATAAAGGTGAGAGTAGAAATGAAACAAGGCCCAACCGTCTTCTTATTCTGTGTTGGCACAATCAGTGTTCTTCTAACTTCATACTGGCTAGGTGAAAAACATGTCATGTTATTTCAGCATCTTAATATATAAATAATAAACATATTGATCAAAACAGTTCTTTGAAAATAATAGAATATAATTATTTAAAAATTAAAATAAAATATATCTCATTATTTACTAGGCTAACATTTTGAGACCAAATATTATATTCTGAATGAAAAGAAATGGTTTCCTTCAAAAGATTCTTTAATATAATTCAAAAGAATTATGAGTTGTTGCAATGTCTTGAAGTGCAAATTTCTCATTATTTAAAAATGTTCTCTTTTTAAACAACACAAAATAAAATATTATCTGGGAGAATAACAGTTACAGACACAGTTGTTTGGAAACCTTTATGGCTTCTACTGAACGCAAACCCCAAGTGGAAGAGGTCTTCCTTAAGATCTATACTCTCACAAGTCATAGCTTCTGGAGACAAACACACAGAAAGAGAAGTATCAGACCCCATGACAATCCCAAAACCATTAATACAGTCTGTTTACAGCACCATTAAACCTTCTGTTTTCCCATGCTGCACACTTGTTTCTTCCTCCCTCTCTTCCTCAATCCAGAGCAATTCTTGGGTATAAATTTTAGCTTTCAAACAGGAAATAAGAAAATCTATTTTATCACAGGGCATGAATCTTCATGTACAAATTGAAAAATGCAGGAAAATCACTTTCACTTTCAGAACTCTTTCACCCACTCCCAGTCACTAAAATAACCCATAGAAATAATATAAATCAAACATTTCAATGAGCACACATGCCACAGACACTGGAGCTGAATCGTATCTCATCACAGGACGAGCAGGATTCTGTCATTTGTCTGACTGTCTGTGGAGTGGGGTGTATGAAAAATGTCCATCACCAAGTACTGTGAAAAGAGACAAAACCAAAACTCTAGCTACTTAACAGATGATCAGGAAAAGAAAATAATATTTTGCAAAGCTTAGAGAATCATGCTCCCAGAAGGTAAGCTGATGGATCTTGTGCCACCAGTGGCCATAGAAACAGAATTAGCTGAAAGCACACACAGCATCTACACAAATAAGCACACAGTAATATTTAGACTTCACAGGTTAGATGCCAAATTTTATGCTATTGCAAAAACATGCCTTTCAATAGTGTTAAATTAAGGCCTATTGTGGCAGACTGGAGCTAAGAAGATTTATCATAGAGAGCAATCCTTAAAGATTTATCTTTGTGTCACAAGAATAAGCTTAAAAATAGACTGAGGCTGTTGGAGGACAGGTTTAATCACTTATCTGTCATGGAGCATGTTGTATATAACACAAGAGTTCTTAAATTCATGACAAGAGCTAGATGAAACTTTTACAATGGATATTAAGTTAATCTCCCGAAATGTGGTTTCTACCACCTGAAAACCATCTGCAAATTTGGCTGGAATTCCCCAGATACCTCTGGTTATAATCACAAAAGTGCAGGAAAAAGTCAATAGATCAGTGGCTACCCATACAGGATATAAGAAGCAGTGGTTCAATTCTGTATTTTTTCTTTTGGGTTTTGAACTTGTGTATCTTTAAAGAGTGCACAGGCCACTAGGCTAGAGAATAGTGTAGGAAAGAAGATGAGGGACAACTTACAAGATCTCCTTTTGCAAAAAGGAAGATGGAAAAAAGGAACATGGCCAGTCAGAATTTCAGAAGAGGGACTGGCAACCAGGGGGCAGCCAGGTTAGTGTCTTACCACCTAGGTCTGGCATGTTTGCACGTGGAGATGCCTCTGCAACCTTTACTGGAATCCTTCTACAATGTTTTAACCTTTGAAATCAGAAATCAAGTTAAAGGATCACCTCCAAGCAGAGTGGTTAGGTCCACCCTAAAGTGAAAAATCTGGATTTGTGCTCTGAATCAGATGGATAATGGGTCTGATGCTGGGCTTTGCAACCTTAGCAATTGTATTAATGGGTGTTCTTAGGTCCCCTTACTCCCAATGGGACCACTCCGTTTCCTGTAAACAACCTAAACACTGAGATCAAGGGCACAAGAATCACATTTCAGGATGGTGGCTTCAAGTTTGAAGTACTGCCCATAGGGCAGTACTGCCCATAGGGAATGAGTACTGTCCATAGGGAATCTCTGTGTACCTATATTAGTGGATGGAAGGACTGGTGCAGGTACTTCTGTGAAGCAGTGCTTCATTTTTTTAATTTTTACATATGTTCCCAAGATGCAACGATTTATTGTGAACAAACTGGAACATCTAGTGTGGAAGGAAATTATTTCTTTCTTTATTGTTTACTGTTATCATTTTTGTAAGAAAATAAATGGCAAATTTAAATGTCATTTCAATCTGTACTGATTTTTCCTGCCTTCCCGCTCCCAAACTTAGCAGCCCAGCTGAAATGGGAATTATTTGCACAATCCAAATTTGCAGTCTTTTTATGGAAGAGAGATTGCTTTCACTCATGTACATGCTGTTGTGGCTTGTAATTTTTCTTATTGCGTCTTTTAAGACTAGAGATACAGATGCTTACAGATTACAGAAATAAGCAGTCAGCATGCATCAAGCACTTTCACTTTTTTTTTTTTTTGTTGTTAAAGGAACAGGAGACACTGTATGTGTCCTCTTGCTTGCAAGTAGGAAAAAAACAACTTGGATGTGAAATGGGGAACTGTGGATTATTGAAATATTTCATCTCATACCACCACCTTCAACCCTAAAACTTGATTATCTCTGCTACTTAGCAGAAACAGAAGATGCTACTCAGCATACATCCAGCTCTGAAAGTCTGTATCGGGACTGATGTATATCAGGACTTAAATGCATTACTAGAGTTAATGGAGAAGCTTTTACAACACATGCCTGCAATACAGCTGGCTCAAAGCCAGTGCTGAGTTGCTAGCTTTTTCAAGTACTTAGTACAGCTGCAAGAAGTAGAAATGAGAGTGGATACTCAGGCAACATGAAATGCTGGCAGACTGCAAGAGATTTTGGTGCTTTCCAAACCAAAGGGACATATGGAGAACTGCAGAGCTGAATCAGAATTTTGATGTACATCTAATGCGTACCTGCAGCTAAGCACATTTCATAAATTACTTGATCCAAAATCCATTAAAATCAATGGAAAATTTTCCATTACTTAAATAGGTTTTGCCCAGGCCTAAGGCACAGGACACCCTGATTCACGAGAAAGCTTCTGTGACCAGATTTTTTTCAATAAGGCTATAACTTGTTCTCCTTTCTAAGATTACCTGGGAAATAGAAGCATGGCTTCTTTTCATTTTGGCTAGAAATTATATAATTGAATTCTCTTTTTTCCTACAGATGACATGCCCCCACCTGATCCAAAGTGCTTTGAAGTCAGCTGCGAAATAATTTTATTTTTTCTGTCTATTCAGCTAACTCCTAATTTTCCTGTTCCTAACTGTAAGAAAATAAACTGAAGAGTAAAAAAACCTCCAGCTATTACAAAAGAGAAATACAGATCCTGCTTACAAGGACCCCACCACCCTCTTCTTGGTTCTCTTGGCTTCATAATATGAAGTCAGCTGGAAACACTGAAACCATCTTCTGCAGCCTCTGTTAACATCTTACTGAAGAACTTCACAGCCCAGACCCCAAATAAATTTCCAGGTTGTCTTCAGCTTTGCATTGAGTCAGTCTGCTGAACAGGCCACTAATGCTAACCGGGAGCAAGCACTGACTGCACATCGCTGTCATGCTCACAGCTTTGGTCTTTTCAGACTGAGGGAGGGGGCTGATGGACAGGGACCCATCAGGACACTGCAAGTACCCTGTCCCAGAGGAAGTCAGGGCATCTGGGGAACAGCGCACAGGCAACTCTCACCCCTGTGCACAGTTGGGACACCTCTGAGGTGGAGATGGTGGCTGTTTGGAGGGTCCTCTCTGGAACATCCTGGCCTAACACCATGAAGAGCCACCGGCTCAACCATTTCACCTCTGACCAGATGACCGCAATAACTGCTCAAAGGGAAAATAAAAGGAGCAGAGTCCTTTCACTAAGTGTCATTAATGATGAGAATGAACATGTTGACACCATCTGTGCTAGTCTAATTCTACCTAACATAATCTCCACCACAGATGTGCAAAAGGGCAAAGTGCCCTAGAGGAAGTCTCCAGCAGAACAGGCTGGAAAAATAATTCATGGTGGGATTTTTTGTTAAGGCCTTTCAAGAGGTTACTCTTAGTGGAAACTGGGGGTCTACCTCCCCTGAGACATGTTTAAAAATCCCATGCTAAACTATAAGCTTTCCTACCAGATTCACCTTCTGAGTCAATTCAATCACACCAAACCTCTTTTCTATGGTCAGACAGCCAGCACTCATTGAATACATGCTTGCCTGTGCAGAGTTATGATATATGAATATATGAAAAAAACCATGTTGCCCCTGGAATCACCACCTCTCACCTGTTGATAAATTCAGACAGGACCTCATACAGATTTTTACTGCTCGTGTTCTTATCCCCACAGAAAAAGCCCATCATAGCTGGATACTCTATAACCTGCTCAGGGCTGCGAGGTCTGAGCTCCCTGAAAATGCTAGGAGGAACATGCACCTCCTTCAGTACCATGCTTCTCTGTACGTGGTCTGGAGCAATGCCAGCCTGCACCGCTTGCCTGCACAATCCTGCTCCATGTCTGTTATCCCCACACGTTGGATCTATTTCCAGTTTGTGTAATAGCTGACAGTCTACTAAAAAGAGAGTGAAGTATATTTGGGTAATACAGGTATTCTTCCATTGCTTAATACATTGCTTAATATCGCTTAATACAGCTTAAACAGCTGTTTAAGTAGGTAGAAATAGAGGTGAACAAGGATGAAAAAAAAAATCATTGTGATGTTTGGAATGAGTAATTACCTGGTGATATCAGAACAGCAGATGAAAACAAGGCAATCTCCTCCTCAGTCAGCTGTAAGGAACATAAATTCTTTGCAAAGTCAAAGGCTTCATTCACCAGATCATCAGAACCTGCAGACCATAGAGGACAAAATCAATGCTAGAAATTTATCAGCTATTTAACCTGCCATGAAAAGTGGATTGCTTTGGTGTCAAAAAAAGTTGTGAGCGCATGTCTGTACCCCAAAAACGTATCACTAGAACAACCATTGAAGCAAAAAAATTATCAGGAATGAGGGGTATGACCTGTACAAAAATTACACAGACATCTTAGAAGAGGGTTTTCTTTTCCCAATGTGGAAATAAATACTATTTCTAAACAGATGTTAAATCTAAGAGGTATGAATGACAAGTCCTAAATAACTTTCACATATATAATTTTATTAACTAACAGTACAAATATTTATGTGAAATTTGTGAAAACATCACAAAGACTAAAATGAATCAACTAATGCACGTTTATAAATACTTTAAACTTGTAAAGTAATGTTATGTTTATCCATATGCAAATAAGAAAAATATATACCTATATGATAAATATATGCATTTGAAGGAAATATCTCTCTTTGATTTTGGTCCTGAATAAATTTCTGATAATGTATCAGTCTCATTGATGAGTAAAAGACATCCATTTAGCTATTTACATTTCAGGTAGCACTCAATATCATGTTGATAATGAAGCAATTGGTTCAATACGTGAATGTAAATGATCTTAAAAGTTTTAGGCAAAACAGTATTTTACGTAAGTCCTTTTCTATACTTTGTTGTAGTTCATCATTTTAGTCCCCTCATTGCTGCAGCTAAAATTGCCTTCTGCAAGACACAATTAGTGGGAGTGATTTGATATATCAAGCATAATCGAACCATGAAGATAAACTGCTTGGCTCCTACCATAAACTCATGTTTTATCAAAATTTCAAATAGCAGAGTAAGAAATCTATCTGAAAAACCCTCATGCTGCTCTTTTATATTAGAGAAAAAACACCTATAACTGCTAGCAGCTAGTGGAGTCACCTTTTTTTCTTTTTCAGTTCCAGCCTAGAGATTTGGAGGTTTGGGGATTCAATTTTTACTGGAGATTGTGGGTCACTATTTTCAGAAAGACAAATCTGTCAGTATGTGGCTCAATGTAACTGGCTGAAAAGAAGAGCAACATACCCAAGGCTTTAAACATTTGCATCCCTCCATATTTTCCTTCAAACAGAACAGTATTGTTGAGTGGGTTGAAGGCACGGCACATTCTCACCAAAACCACTTCCAAGCAGCCTATCAGACGTGAAAAAGAGCAAGGTACCACACATTACTGCAAAACATCAGAATATGGGAAATTTCAAGAAAATATTTAGAAAGATATCAGACATTAGAAATATCAGCAGGGATAGACACTCTTTAAAGGCATCTAGATGATATGTTTCTGAATGAGAGAAAAAATATTTCTGTCTGCTTTGAGTATAGAAAGGGGTAATTTCTGGTCCAGTCTAACCACCTTATCTTTAGGTTGATTTTTCCCCCATTGCAGCAAATTGGCAGCCTGGACTTAATCTGAATTTAGACCTGGGCAAATATTTTCAATTTGAAATATTTTATCCTGAAAATTAGGCATTTATCGAAACTCCTTTTTAATAATTAAACCTTTTTTATATAAAAAAGCAGCTTCATTCAACGTGTATACAAATGGCAGCCTCATTTGGCTGGAGAGGGAGAACATCATGAAGTTTTTAGAGAGAAAATAAAAGCTAAAATACTGTCAAAAATTTCCTAACTGCAAAAATATACATTTTGGGAAAATGAAGGGAAAAATTTTAAGCATCCCTTAACTAAATGCAGATCTCCTGTAAGAGGAGCTCTGAATCTGAGGATTCTTTTGCAGACATGATTTCGAGTGAAAAGTCCTGATTTTCTAACTCCTGCTCAGCATTAACAGCAAAACAGAAAATAAACCCTGATATTTATACATGCTGAAGCTAAACAGCGTTGTCTGACAGTATGGTCCAATATAACTATATCTTTTGCTGAAGGTGCAGTTGTGCTATTAGCTTTGCCAGCCAAATGAAGGAAGTCACTTGGAGTGCACTGGCATCTGCAGAATTTTTGAAATTAGTACGAGCTTTAAAAAAATAGTTCTCATGCTATGACTCTGTTTTTATGCCTTTTGACTATGTTTTTCCAGGAGGTTGCCTGCGTGTTCCCAGGGTCTCTGTATCCCATCCCTTTGCACCTGTGCCCACTGTTGCAGTCCAGCCCCACACCGAGCCACAGCCCTCTGTGTGCAGAGCACTGAATCACACTGGCTTTCAGCCTTAATGAAGAGGTCTCTCTTGAAATAGGAAGCACTTCTTATGCTTCAACAAGCTGACTCACACAGCATCCCGCCTTTTACATGTGGAGGGAGCAAGAAACTGATATGACATGATAAATGCAGTTAATTACCAGTAGCGGTTCACTTGGTCATACCATTTTGTCCTGAGTTTGGTGGTGTTACTACATAGTCACAATAAATCTTGTCATGATTCTTCTGGAGGACAGAAATTACCGAGTCCCACGACAGGGACGGAAACCCTTTCCCCCCTTGCCCTTATGCACACACGTGCACACCCAGGCACGCACAGAGAGCACGGCTGGAGCACACCACTGTAATCCGCTCTCATTTATTCTGAAACCAACTGGCGCCAGCAGGGATTTTCCCTCCTGTGCGCTGGCTGGAGGGTATTTCTGTAGTCTCATTAAAAAGATTAGAGATGACCACAGAGGCAGGCCCCGGTGAGCCTGCGTTTGTTTCACTAATGACAAGTGGGGATTTTACAGGGTGGCAGATGACTGATTCAACCAGCTCAATTCGCGGGGTCCTTCCACCACATGTCAGGTTGGAGACTGAAGTTTCTGCAACGATTGTGTGCGTGTGTGTACTTAACAACCACAACCGACTGCAGAGGGAAGGGGATCAGAAGGTAGTAACATGATTAATGTGGAAAAATAGGGAAGGGTTAATGTAGCTAATGAAACAGACTGAAATTAGGGCTCCTTCAAAATTAAAATGATTTGTAGAACAAGACAGCAGAGCACATTTCTAATGTGCTGGGTGCTAAACCAGTCTCGAGCCTCTGGTGTTTACCCACCTGACTTAAGGAGAAGAATTTGGTCATTCTGGCAGAGCTCCATGAAGCCTGTTATGCGCTTCGCAAACTCCACCACATACTGGATAGCGTGGGTGATCTGAATGGCACACTGCTGCCACAGAGCTTCTCTGGTCTTCCAGGAAAACACACACGGAAATGCAAAACAGTGAGCAAGCAGGTTCATCAGTGCATTAAGTTCTTCAGGTGGCCTTACAGAAAGGCACACTCCTCAGACTCTCCCCCCATCCCCAGGCAGAGCTAGCAGCAGCTCTGCTTCTCAAGGTATCTGGCACTTTTCACTAGAAGTCTGTTTTCACAAGCCAATTGCCCCAGTGATTTGAACCCTGGCATTGCTGCTTCAAAGGGGAAGAATGCATTGTCCAATGTCAAAATGTGATTCTAATGTCAGCTTTCATGCAAGATAGAAAAACAGTGGCACAAACAACGTAAACATCCCAGAGTATTCTTAGGGAAGAAGTGACACAGTGCTATTAAGTTATCCGACAGAATGTTTTTGCTAGTTTGAAACTTAAAATAATATATAATTAAAGTGTCATTGCAATCTGTACACTGACTGTGTCAAAATTTTGTCTCCTTTTTTTTTTTTCTTAGTTGCACACACACAAGTGTGCAAATGTAAACTGATGCTCTTGGTTTGCATGCCACAGCTCTGCAAGTTGTGGTGTATTTTTATTCTTGCTAGTACTGCATGGCCCCTCAGCTTTCAAAGAACAAGGTGGAGTCTCTTCTGTCTCTTGCGTGATCAGCTAATGTACCAACTGAAATCTTATTGAAGAATCATTACTAGTGATGCCGGCACAAGAGGCACAAAGATTTCTGTTGACTGGACTACATCTGAAGAGCTGCCAGTGGGAAACAGTCTGAACTCGATCTGACAATCTCAGAGGTAGAACAAAAATGTAGTGTAATGAGATTATTTTTCCACACAGGTTTGAACAACTTCAATTTAAGGAGTACTTTCAGTTTGTCATTATCTATTCTCTATAACTGACAGATATTTGTTATTCACATCAAAAGGGGATGCGTTTTCAAAATGATAAGGAAACAATGTTAGGTTGTCTTATTTTCTTAAAATCCTTACAACAGAGGATCCAATCCTGATCACATTAAAATCAACTAAATGCCTGTGTGAAGTTTAGACCTGTGATAACAAGCAAAGCATGGAAAGCTGGATTCCATAACCAAGCCTGAGCTTTTGACATTAGCAAACATCCCAATATGCTGGAAAGCTGCTGCTTCTTTTTATGAAGTGTCACTTCTTTGCTTTCAGTAACCAGCTGCTCAAAGATATTTAAAAGCCTATTTTGACCTATATCATAAGGCATATCCTTGCCAAATACATTACACTGTTAACAATTTCAAACCATAGGGAGCAGAAGAAAAAGCATATTACAGGATTGTACCTTGCTCTGGTAAACCTTAATTTCTTCATATGTGTGAGTCTGCCACGCTAGCTGGTGTAGTTCCTCCATTGTATATTGACATGTCTCCAAATGAGATTTAATGATATTCTGTGCAATTCGATCTGCGAAGAAGAGAATAAAAAATAGCTTGCATGAAACAGTGAACAGTGATTTGCAATAGCGAAATGTTGAAAACATTAAAGTTGTTGCAAAATGCAGATTTAAAAAAATTTTTTTCCAATCTTTTCTCATTATTTTATTTCTGAAGATGACTGTTGCAAAATGTTTCAGTATTCAACTCAAAGCCAAAGAATGCTTGACCAACAGTGGATCTGCACATGAAAGTAACAATGAATCTTGTGAAACTGTTTAGACTCTTTTCATTCTGGAAGTGATATTTTTTTCTGTGTTTAAAGAAATGCCATTTGGAGACCCTGGTTACTCGATCACTTCTGTCTGCCCCAAGCCTGTTCAGCTGCCCAGCTCTGGCTGCTCAATCCTGACATAGACACTTGCATTACCTTGGGGTGACTCAAATCAGAGAAAGAGGAAACAGGTCTCTCTTCTTTTTTCTCAAGTTAGCTTTCAGCTGGATTAATTTCTGATTTAGCTCAATGAACATGGACACGGAGACTGGTGCTAACAAGGGGTGAAAACTAGAACTAGTATCCTGGGTTTTAGAAGGAGAGATGGAGGGAATAGATTTCACATGCAGGATTAAGTTACTTTAAAGTTATTCTGAAGTTGCAGCCTTAGAAACTACTGCGTAACATGGAATGCAGGATGCAAGGGGAAAAGGAAGCATTCAGTGCTGGCCTCAGATCCCACTGAAACTAAGAGTAAACTTCTCAAGGAAGTATTTTAAAGTAGATCTTCACCCTTTAAGCCACTTGAGTGGATTAAAAAGATTTTCACAAAAACTTCCAACATGAATTCATTAGCACTGGATGTTTAAATGTCTTGATAAAACATGCTATAGAAATGTGATGATTTCTTATTTTGCAGCTTTGAGACCTATATGTCTAATGAAGCTCAGTGCTTCAGCCTGACGACATTGCTTAAGCTGAATACCTTTTAAACAACAGAACAAAGTCGAAGTCACAGAACTGAACTGAAGCCCTTGTGGCAGAACTGGCATTTCGCAGAAAGCATGATTTTCAAAAAGGAAAGGACATTGACAATGCATTAGCCAAACCTGAGCATGGGAAGTAGAAACAACTAGGCATGTCATCATTTATTTATTCACATCCTCAACAGTTTGCATACAGTGGGTGGATGTGGTGGTTGGACTCCCAAAATGAAACTGTTTCTTTGGCCAAATGTTGACTGAATTTAAAAACACCAGAAAGAAGGAAAGCTGAAAAATGAATGTAAAGATGTATATGCTCCCTGCAATCACTGCTATAGGTTTAAAGAAGAGATGCCTGCACTACTGTCACAGTTAATAAGCTGAGATTCAGTGGAAAGGTGGTGAGGAAAACACGAAAGAGTTCCACATTTTTGTAGGAACAATAAAACCTGCTCAATTCAACCTTTACAGGTATCTCTTTAAAGGTCAACACTATCTTTAGGTTACCTGATGGAAGAATTGACTCAGGCATAAAGATAACTAAAAGTGTATATTAGTGAGTACAGGGACCTATCCATTGTTCTTTTATGGAAGGCTGGATGCAAGTTGTAACCCATGGTGGTAAGCGGTTGCATTTTATAGTAAAAACCTTACAGATAAATGTGCATACTGGAATAAAGAGATGATGAATTTAAATAGATCTTTTTTAAAGGATCAGCAAAGGTTTATTTGCATTTCTTTAATGAAGAAAAGCAAGTAAATCCCACCTTTTTTAGAAAAATCAAATTTCAGATGTTTACCCCCATATTGTTCTATTTAAAGTATTGTTTTAACAACATCATCTTTCTGGAAACATCTGTAGCCACAGTAAAGCTGACTGCAGAAATTAAATTCAAGCTATAGGTTTTTTCATTTATGTTCCTGGAAGGACTTAACCAGGCAGAACTGAGGTATGGTCAAAGGAATATTTAGGCCTTGTATCTAAAACACCAATGAAAGAAGTATGATTTCAACTTGTATTACACTTCTGCAGCCTGAATGGTGAAGGATTTTGCTCTCTGCACCCATTGGATGGTCTTTTCTCTCTTGTGCATCCTAGCCCAGCTCTCCTAGCCTCACCATTTGTTATAAAAGCTGGAACTATTCACCTTCTTGACATAAAGAAAATGCTTACAATAAATACCTCAAATATTTTAATATTACTGCATAGACAGATTTTGAATCAGATAAGGTGACCTGATGCCAACAATCTGAAAAAAAGACCTTTCATTTCTCTAACCTCAAAATATACTTGACTAGCAGTTCTACATTACTGTAAAGATTCTCAGCCCCACTCCTTTTCCTACCAATTTATTTACCTTAGGACTAAAGACCTGACAAACTCTTCAGGGTTTTGTAGGGATGGCACCCTGTGTTTCACCCCCATACATCTTTTCCTTATGTACTTGTCCTTATGTTGAGCTGACATTAAAACTCATTTAGATGTGTGAAGGCCTAGGGCAATCGTAGCAAGCAGCAGTTCTGAATGCTGACATCCAAAGAGGAATCAGGTGCAAGACAGACTTGAAACTCTTGCGCTGCAGGCTAGGCAAGGCTGAGTGTGTGATGGAAAGGGTACACTGGGTCTCAGGGGAGGAAGGGACTGCTCATTCGGCATAAGCAGCAGAGGAGGCTGCTTGCTTACACTCAAAACCAGGCTTGCTAGGCATGAGCCTAGGGCTGGCATGCCTGTGTTGGAGAAGAGATCGATAGCCCAACTGAAGTGCATTTACACCAATGCACGCAGCATGGGCAATAAGCAGGAGGAGCTGGAAGCCATTGCGCGGCAGGAAAACTATGATGTGGTCGCCATCACGGAAACATGGTGGGATGACTCACACAACTG